GCTGCCAAACCGCGAGACCGGCGGACCTCCCGCAGGCATGCCGCCGAAGGCACCCTGACTGCCGCCCTCACGGCGACCGGCAGGCCGCCCCCCGTGGCTTGCCGCCCCAGGCACGTGCTTGGTGCGCTGGTGCCTGGCGCTGCCCCTGGACCCCGTCCTAATGGCACCCACTATCACCAGATAAAGAAACAGAGCTTAAGCTGGTTAAAGAAAACTTAGTTTGATAGCGTCCTGTCTGGCAAGGAATCACTCATCTATAGTTGTGGTTGTGAAATCCTCATTTCTTTATTGTTTTGTGATTAGGGTCCCCACTTCCCTATTTGTCTGTCTGATCTGGCTGGGTCTTTGATTGTTCCTGTTATATAATTCATTTTGCTAGGTGTCAATTCATTAAGGTGGTGGGGTAGGATTGGTTAGAGAATTTTGTTAGGATTGGTTAGTAAAATCATTGGTTCAGGTATAGCGAAGTCGGACTCAAGTTTCACTATATAAACTGGGGACCAAAAGGAACCTTTTTGGGAATCAACTCCAGGACACAGCCCCAAAGACCAGAGCTGCCAGATCTCAACACGCTGCCAACGACACCGGGCAGAAACTGGAGGCCCCCGGGTGGACCTGATGCTGACCGGCCAGCGAGAAAAGTCCATCTGTCTTACTGGGCATGGTGAGCACCGTCTGTGTAGCGTGTGCCGTCTGGTTTGGGTGATTGTAGTAAATAGAGGTTATGTAGGAGAGTGCTGTGTAAGGCTCTTTTGCTGGTAAAAGACCCCGCAGAGGAGTACGCCCTGAGCCCTAGGAATTGGGTAAGGGTGGGTGCCTTTCACCCGGCGCGCTAGGATCCAGGAAGGGGTGAGGGTTACGCCCTGAGCCCTAGGAATTGGGTAAGGGTGGGTGCCCCTAGAGTGTGTGAGTAACAGGGAATTTTGTGCAGGCAACACCACCACGCGCCTGGGAGGGGCCTGCGGAGGGGGGCAATCCTGATGCGAATTTCTGCCCCCTTCCATTTCCCTCTGTCCGAGTGGTGTGAAGGGGGTCCCAGTAGAACGGGGACTCAGCACCCCGGATCGCTAGCCACCCGGGCTATGGCTAACAGCTCTGCAGGCCCCCTGGGGCAGGGCTGTGACCGTGGCATGATGGCTGGGGGGGGGTAACGGCGGGTGGTGTGACAGCTGGGCACAGTGATACTGCCTGGGAAGGATAATGCCCCGTAGGCGGGGGCAGTAGTGAGATGGGGCAGCACCAGCCGGTGGGACGGGGCCAAGTGGCAGGACTGGGACGCACAGAACTTACAAGGAGATCCCGCAGAGGAGAAAAATCTTTGGCGAGACCTGCAGAGGGAGAGAAAGCATCAGTGAGAGCAGGCCAGGTGGGCTCTCTGTGCCTCAGTTTCCCCATCTGTGCAATGGCAGTGAGGCCCCCGCCGCTTGGAAAACGCATTGAGGGCCTCAGAGGAGGGGGCCAAGTTAAGAACGAGGCTGGATTATTTAGTTATTATTAATTTTGGAGCCCATTTTACCATTTGCCCCCCCCCACCCTGATGTGATCTGACTTCTTTGAGATGAGCCGCACCATGGAGGTTGTAGTGCGTCCGGCCATTACAGCTCTCTGGCACGTCTCATGTGAATAAGAGCCCAAACCCTGGTGTCTTGGCCAAATTCCAACATGGGTAATTCCCTTCTAGTTCCTCTAATTCCTCCTTGCCTTTCTGGCCTTAATTGTGTAGCGGCAGGTTGTTAAAGTACTGCTGCGATCCGGCCCAGAGGTGGCTGCATTTCAGTGCTGGGAGCGATCCCCAGATACATGCACCACTCTGGAACCCTTCCTGATGGAGCAGACGCGAAGAGCACGGACCCCTCTCCGCCAAGACCCTGCCCGTCCTGGGATGTGGGATCCCTCGGGCTGAAATTGCCTCTGGGCTTCGCCATCAGGGCATGAGCGCTGTCCTGGAAGAACGTGACGCGTTGTAAATGAGTCACTAGCCCCTGACTCGGTCCTGGCACTTTGGTGGTGAGTGGAAGGGTTTATCCCCCCTCTGCCCCATCATGTACCGCAGCATGGGCGCTGGGCTGCGGGGATCCCGTGACGGACGCCTGGCCTCTCTGCGGGCCGAGGCTGGAGACTGGGAACAGAGCTAAGCCGGGCATTAGCAGGGGGCGTCAGGGGTTGGATTGGAGGATGACTCAAGCCATGGACTTCCAGCTACCCAGGCCCCGGAGCCTGAGACACTGTGGGGTGCAGGGTATTCGCTCTGCACACGGGCTGGCGACGAACCAGCTGCAGACCCCCTACTGCTAACCTGTAGTGGGGGAGGGCTCCCCACAGAGATCAGGGGCTCAAGGGGCCCTGTTGAGTCCCCCTCACTGAGGCCACATCTGCTCAGTTGCCAAGTGCTGGAAATGCCTGGGCAGAGGGAGGGTAGCTCGGGGTTGGGGCATTAGCTAGGCTCTGCCACAGCTACTCCGGGTGACCTTGGGCAAGTCACTCAGTCTCTCTGTGCCTCAGTTTCCCTGTCTGTACAATAGGGATAATTGCACTGGCTGGGTGGCTGACTGCATTGAATGTTGTGAGCCCCCGACGGGGCCCAGATCAGCGCCTTTGAGCTAGTGTTGGTTTAGCAGCTGGACTGGCAAAGCCCTGCTCGTGCGGATGTCATTCTCCCAAGGCGAGGGCCCTAGCTAGCGCGTGTTCATGGCCACGCTTCGCTCTGTGGGGCGGCGGGGCGCGTCCTCACTGGCAGTGCTTGTGCCGATTGTGCTGTCAGCGTGGGGCAGCTCCCGACATCCAATGACCGTCGCGGTCTGTAACGCAGCGTCTCCACTGACCTCGCTACCGGGGGTGGTGTTATTAAGGTGGCGAGCGAGGACCTAACTCTGGCGTGGACCAGGCCGTAGCGAGCTCGCCGAGCACAGCTGGCGCGGCTCCGTCCGCACGCATGACCCTTCCCAGCCCCGGAGGCAGTGTAGACGCACAAGAGCGCCCCCTTGGGGAGCTAGCGTGGAGTAGCCGGGGGCAGCAGAGCTGCGCTGCGGTGGCTGCTCCGGGCTTTCCCCCGGGTCGCTCCGAGTTCCCCAGCGGAAGGATTTCGCCCCTGCGGGGACTGGTGCAGGCTCAGCGGCACCACGGCTCAGCGAGCGAGGAGCTGGCGACGCTGGCGAGCGGGTGACACTTGGGGGGCAGAGGTGGGGGAGGTGGCGACATCGCAGCCGTCATTTCTCTGACCATACGCCACATTGTGAGACAGAATCGAAACCAGGCGGAGGCTGCTCCCAGCAGCCCACAGGCAGGGAGATTTCTGGGGCCCGGCTGCCTCTGGGAAGCCCTGCGCAGTTTGAGGGCTGCTAACCACTGGGGAGGAAACGGAGCCACAGAGAAACTGTCACCAGATCTACGTCTCAGAGCAAATCGGGCCAGAACCGAGAATAGAACCCAGGAGTCCTGGCCCCTGGCGCTAACCACTAGACCACACTCCTTATCTGGAGCTGGAAACAATCCAGGAATCTTAACTCCCAGGTTTCAGAGGGGGAGCCGTGTTAGTCTGTATCAGCAAAAACAACGAGGAGTCCTTGGGGCACCTTAGAGACTAACAAATTTATTTGGGCATAAGCTTTCGTGGGCTAGAACCCACTTCATCAGATGCACCAGGGTCCCAGACTCCATCAGATTCCCAGGGTCCTGCTTGGATCCCCACCATACTCCTCCCCAGAGTGGGACATAGCACCTAGGAGGCCTGAACCCCCTTCCCCACCCTACATCCTCCCCAGAGCGGGAAATAGAACCCAGGAGTCCGGATGCCCCTTGTCCCCCATCCCCACCGCAATCACCAAACTACATTCTCCCCAGAGTGGGAAATAGACCCCAGGAGTCCTGATGCCCATACCCCCCTCGCTCTAACCGCTAGACCACATGCCTTCTCAAGGCAATAACAAAGCCGGGGTGAAGACGGCACCAAACCCACGGGCCCCAGGCCGCGTCCAGAGACGCCCCAGTCTCAGGTGCAGAAGCGAGCAGATACCCCATGCTGCGATCTCTCGCCAGCTGCCTCTGCCATCGTCTTACCTGCTGGAAGCTGGCAAAGAGGCAAACCAGGAGCAGGTGGGCCGGGGGTCTCCGGGGCAGGGGCATCCTCCCCGCAGTCAGGCGGCCGGTCCCAGCCCGCTCAGCCACAGCCGCTGCGTTCGCTCCTCTGCAACCTTTGCTCCGGGGATGGGCCAAATCCCCACTTCACTCAACTCCCAGCAAAGCTGCCAGGGCCCTGGCAGTGAGTCAGCCGGGCAGGGTTTGCTACCCCCCCCATCCCCCGAGTGCCTGGGTGCAGATCAATCCTCTTAAAGCCGCAGTAACCCAGGGACTGGGCAAACTGGGCTGTACTGGGGGGACGGGCACGGGCTGGGTAACTGCGTCTCCTGCTTTGGGGACACCTGGGGGGTGACGAAAAAAATCTCTCACGTGATGCGAATGGGACAAATGCCTTGCAGAAGTAAATAGCAGCAACTCCCCTGACGGCCAGGAAGCAGCGTCATTTCCACCAGCAGAGAATCTGGCCCCGGGAGGGGCTGGGAGTGACCCAAGATCCTTCCAGGCCCCCGGCTGTGGGGGCAGCAGGAGGGTTGGGGTCACTACGTCCTAGCAAAGGCCTCGGGCAGCGACTCGGCCCATCGCCTGCGCTGAAGCTGTCCCCGTCCCCCCACCCGATCAGCAGGCACATTTACAGGCCTCAGACTCAGTGTCCCCATCTCGCTGACGGCAGCACCGACCAGACCTGGGTGAGCTCCGGGCTCCGTCGCGCGGGGCACTGGGTGGACGTTACGGGAGACACCGTGACTCAGGCCGAAAAGTTCAAATGACAGCAATTTTTGCAAACTGGAAGAAACCCGAGCGATTGTTTTTGGTTTGGGCCGATGAAGGGCTTCGCTTGGCTCAGTCTGAAACACTTCGTTCGCGTTGGCCTTTGGTTTCAAACCTGTCTTTGGCCTCCTTAGCTGAACCATTCGAACCGAAACGTGCTGCCAAACCAGGACACCCCCATTTTTCATTTCAAAGCTTTATTTTTCCAGTCGGGGGCCAGGGTGGAACCGACCCCGTTTTGCGTCAGTTTTGGTTGCAATGAATCAGAATTTTTCGACTGAAAACGTTTCAATGAAACATCCCTGGCGAGCTCCTGCACCTAGAGACACGCACCAAGGGCCATAAATGGAGCAGGAGCTAACCAAGGGCCTAAAGACCTTATGATAGAGCAGGGATCATCTTTTTGTGTTGGGTTTGTACAGCACCTAACACCACGGAGGCCTGGGCCAGGATGGGGACTCCCGGGGGCTCTAGTAATACAAATCAAAGGATCGGGGGAGATCAAGGCTGAGCTTTCCAAAGAGCGCAGCAAAACCCAATTGCCATTGGAAGTAAGTGACTTGACCAAGGTCACACAGCAAGTCTGTGGCGGAGCAGGGGCATGACTACGGTTCTCCTGAGTCCCGGCCCGGTGCCTTATCCCCCAGCCCTGCCACTGATCCCTTGTTATTAAACATCCCGGACCGACCGGCTGTGTTTACACGAACACACTGCGCGAGGCTCCCAGCCTGGCCCAGCTCCCAAACTCCCCTTGGCATCTCGGCAGCGGGGGAGGAACGGCAGCGAAGGAAAACAAACAGCCGCTGCGGCACGGGAGCACGCAGCTCCTCTCAGTGGGCTCAGCCGAGGACTGATGGGTCTTGGGGGCAGAGCTGCCCGCTTTGCCGGCGGGGGCTCTGTCCGGGGCAGGGCTGAGGCGCTTTGGCAGAGCGCGTGGGGGCCTCCAGCCTGAGCCGGCTGCTGATCTTGCTCCATCAGACGCGCACGGGCCTCTTCCTTGCCGGGTCTATGTCCCTGGTCCCTTTGGTTGCCCCGGGGTGCGGCCTCTCGGCTTCCCCGGCCAGTCCAGTTTGTTCTCACTGCGGATCCGGAGTGGGGGCAGCAGAGAGGATGCCGGTGAGTTCCTGTGCAAGCCAAGCTGAGTGCTCGGGTTCAAGCCAAGGGTCAGCGACCCCTCCACCACCGCCCCCAGCAGGGATCCGTGAGCAGGGATCCTTTAAGCGCTGGGAACACAATTCTGAGCTCTGACCCTACATGTGTGGCAGTTCCAGGGGCTCCCCACAAGGTGTCAGCGTCGGCCTGGCAGTGGGAGGCAGGGCTGGCGGGGTCTCTGTGCCCACCCTGGGATGGGGGGGTTCACCCTCAGGGCAAAGGAGCTGGACTCCCCCAAAGCCCGAGTCGAGCCGGTGCCTGGGCCGGGGCCAGATCCAGCTGGGAAGCCTCAATTCCGGGGTGTGAATGTGAGTGGGACCCCTTGGCCGGACTGAGGATCATCGGCAGAGATCAGTGTGTGTTAGCCCCCAGGACTGGGATAGCCGGGGGGCTGCGGGGCCGGACTGAGGGGCATCGGCAGAGTTCTGGGCGGTGGGGATCCCAGGACTGGACTGGTGGGGGGTGGAGGAGGGTTGTGGGTGTCCTCAGCCCTTTGCTCTCAGGGGAGCTGGAGTTCGCTGCACACGCATGGTGTGTGGGGGGGGAGCCGCCATTTTTTCCCCCCGCCGATCCCTGCAAGAGCCAGGCCGGGGTCTCAGCTTGGTTCCCGAGGGGCCCCGGAGACCCAAGAACCGGTGGGCTGGAAATGCTACAAGATCATGGTAGATGGGGGGCCTGGGCCTAGCCCCCCCACAGGTGCTCCTTAAGTGCCAAGGTTTCCCCCCTCCGTACTTTGCTCTGCCCCTCCTGGGTCTGTGGCTGCAGCAGCTTTGGTGGCGCCCCCTAGAGGCACATACGCCGGCCAGGACACTGGAGCATCTCCAGACGCCCACGTGTTAGCTGGGTGGCAGGGGCTGGGGCATGGGCTGGAGGGGGCCTGACAGCCTGGGTACATGGGGGGGCTCCCCCCACAGGCCTCAGTATCCCGGCATGGGAAGCGTGGGCGGGAGATGTCAGAAGGGCTCCAGGGAGCGTCTGGGCCGGCAAGGAGGGAAAACAGATTGCGGAGAAAGGAAAACCAGCAGGTCCGGGCTCCCCTCGAATGGTCTCACCTGCTCGAGCAGGGGCCAGGCCTGCTCACCTCGGCACAGCTCCCACAGCTCCAGTGGGCGCAGCACCACAAGGGGGGGGACGCGTGCTGGGGCTGCAGGCAGAACTCCTCTGCTTTGCTTACACCCTGACCCTCGGCTGGGCCCCCAGTGCCCCACACACTTCTGACTCAGGGTGGTGCGGGAGTGGGCGATTTAGCAACACCAGTCATGGCAGTGCCCTCTGGGTGCCCGGGGGGGGACTAAGCTGTCCTCAGCAGTGCTTACAGTCCGCAATCCTGCAATCTGAAGCGTGGCCACTTCCCGCCAGGCCCCAGCAGTGGATTGCCTGGGGCTGCCCCCTGGGTTGAAAGTTGAGCACGTCCAGAAATGCTTCACTGAGTCACGGCTGACGCCACGAAATATTGGTCTTCGTCAGCGCTGGTTGGGAAGCAGAATTCCTCGCCCTAGGAAATGCCAACGTCCCGAAGAAAACAATTTGTTCCCCATCGGAACAAAAAGCCAAAATTTCCCATGAAACAAAAATCTGGAAAAGTTTGGGGAGGGATAGCTCAGTGGTTTGAGCATTGGCCTGCTAAACCCAGGGTTGTGAGTTCAATCCTTGAGGGGGCCACTTAGGGATCTGGGGCAAAATCAGTAGTTGGTCCTGCTAGTGAAGGCAGGGGGCTGGACTCGGTGACCTTTTGAAATCTCTTCCAGTTCTAGGAGATAGGATATCTCCATATATTATTATTTTTATTATTATTCCACACAATGGCATTTTTCAATGGAAATCTCTTCTAGTGAATATTTTTTTAACCTGCCCCCGTTTTCACCCAGTGCTCCTAGGGGGAGCTGTTTGCTGCTTGTATGGGAACTCACTCGTCAATGCCTGTCACAGCGCAGAATCAGAGACGCAGCGCTGCGAAGGACGTTGTCCAAATAATCCTAGAGCATCCCTGAACGGGACTGTCCAGTCTGTTCTTAAAAACCTCCACTGTCCCAGAGCTCAGCTCTCCTGAGTGTTAGAAAGATTTTCCTAATATCGAACCGAAATCTCCCTTCCTGCAGATCAAGTCCATTACTTCTTGTCCCACCTCCAGTGCACAGCGAGATAAATCGATCACGGTCCTCTTTGTAACAGCCCTTAACATATGTGAAGACGGATCAGGTTCCCGGTCAGTCTTTTTTTCTCAAGACTAAATGTGCCACGTTTTTTTAACCTTTCCTCACAGGTCAAGTTTTCTAAACCTTCGAGCGTTTTTGTTACTCTCCTCTGGACTGTCTCCAGTTTGGCCACATCTTTCCTACAGTGCGGTACCCAGAACTGGACACAATACTCCAGCGCCGAGCAGAGCGGGACAATGACCTCCCGTGTCTTACATACGACGCTGCTGTTAATAAACCCCAGAATATATTCGCCTTTTTCACAACTGCAGCACACAGGTGACACATATTCAATTTGTGCTCCACTATGACCTTTTCAGCAGTGCGACACATAGCTAATCATTCCCCATTTTGCATTTGATTTTTCCTTTGTAAACGAAGTACTTTGCCCTTCTCTTTATTGACTTGCATCTTCTTGTTTTCAGACCAATTCTCAAATTTGTCCAGGTGGTTTTGCATTCGAATCCTGCCCTCCAAAGTGCAAAAGCGCCCCCTCCCGGCCTGGCGTCATCTGCAAATTTAATAAGCATCCTCTCCACTCCGTTATCCAAGTCATTAATGAAAGGATTGACTAGTACCAGACGCAGGACTAGCCCCTGCGGGATCCCACTAGATAAATCTGCATTCTTCAACAAAGGAAATCAAGTATAAATGGCCTAGTGATAATATGGGCTCAAATTTGTGTCTTCGTTGATCAGTGCCCAGAAATCGCTAGCAATGTGAGCCCTCGGAAGAATAGCTTTGTTTGCAGTTGGAGGTTATAGAAGAGGGGAGTTGGGAGCAGATCGAGTTGGAGAATTTCACAGGTTCCATGATTTTTTTGCTGAAATTTTGAATGTCGACCAAATCCCCAAGCCACCCTTCGGGCATTAAAACTGGCTGAAATTTTCTGCAAAATTCAAAATTTGGACCACCTATTTTTGCATGAAA